CGGAGGCGCCGCAAACAGGCTGGTTAAAAATAAACGATAATAAATTTTTGGTCGGAGTTCGATTTCAGAAAAAAATGAGCTAAAAATTCCAGGAGCACTTCCAAATCGTTTAGGCTCCGCCTCCCGACTCCGCCCACTTTTCCCGGGGAAAATTCCTCCGGATTTGCGTTATTCGATTTTGAAAATTGCAGGAGCACTTCCTAATCGTGTACCACATAATGCGTGCTCAGTGCATTCGAGAAGAGAATCTGAAAGCACGTCTTCAGTTCGATCAGAAGCAGTTACGACAACTTATACAGCAACTGAAACACGAGAAACTGGTCAAAGAGCGGATATTTACACAGAAGAACGAGAACAACCGGACGGTCTCCATCCTGTTCTACTACATCAATTATCGAGCCGTGTTGAATGTGGTCAAGTACAAAATTGATCATATGAGGTGATTTTTATACAGTAACGGCCAGATTTTGGCTATTTTTTACCGTTTTCAGAATCTGGAGCTCTACAAAATGAGCCTAAACATGACTATTTTTCGGAATTTTTGGATTTTCAAAGTCAAAAACCTAATAACTGGATTTCTCGATTTTTGAAGTCTTTAGCTTTGAAATAAGTCTAAACACGACGCAATTCTTTCCGATTTTAGTTTTCGTCTGAAACACGCGACGCACGACCGCGACGCAGCAGAAATTTGGAAAATTTTGAGGCTCTCAACTTTCCAATCAACAAAAAATATGATTTTGTAGATTTCTGGAAAAATATATGAAAATTTTCAGACAAAAACTGGAATCTCGCGAGCAAATGGACACGAATCGAGCTCACTACAAGTGCAACACGTGTCAGAGTACATATGATGTATGCCAATAAAGATCATTTGCATATACTGAGAATTCCAAAAATTTCAGTTACTAGACATTGGTAGAATACTGGATCCTGAAACTGGTCGACTCATTTGCTGGAGGTGTCATGGAGAAGTGCAAACTGATGAATCAGCGGTGCCGTCGAGGACAACAAGGTAAAATTGGGTTCTCTAGGTCATTTTAGCATGGTGGCCTAACTTTCACAACCTGAGTTTTCTAGGGCACCGAGTTTTATGGTCTAGAAATGACCTAATACTCACCTGGTGTGTTTCCTAGGCCATTTTAACTTGGTGGCCTAGAAAACTCAAGTTGCAAAAGTTAGGACACCATGTTAAAACAGTCTAAAAATGACTTGACATTCATCTAAAAGGATTTCTAGGCCATTTTAACATGGTGGCCTAACTTAGCATGTTGAGTTTTCTAGGCCATGGTGACCTAAATTGAATTTCCTAGGTTTACCACGGTGGCCTAGAAAACTCAAAAGTTAGGCCACCATGCTGAAATGGTCTAAAACCATACTAGGTGGTTATCTGACTATTTCTAGGGCATTTTTCCATGATGACCTAGAAAACTCAACTTGCCAAAGCTAGGCCATTATGATAAAATGGCCTAGATCGCGCTGAATAGCTGCTCAATGACCTAAAAACGCCACGTCATTTCCAGGACCGCCGTCGCTCGATTCAACGAACAAATGAACACACTCTACTCGCACATCTGCGCTCTAAACGGCATCCAACTGGCTCCACATCTTCTGGAACCGGATATAGCCAAATATCTGGAAGACGACAAAGCCGCGGCTCTTCAACTACAACAACAAATGGATTTCACGTCTGGAGGAGGTGGTGGAGGTGCCAGAATTCAGTTGGGTGGTGTTGCACACTCTTATCACAATGCGGCGTCGATCAATTATGCGAATGGGGATTCGGTGTTTGTGGATTTGAATGCGGATCATACAAAGTGAGTTTTTACTGATAATGGGTTATCAGGGTGTCCGAGAAATGCATATTTAATTTTTTTTTTCCAGGGGACCTGTCGAGGAAGCGAAGATCATACCTGAATGGCTGAAGGACACTGCTATAGGTGGAGAAACATCACACAATGATAACATTTTGGATCAAGCCACGTGAGTAGATTCCTAGGGCCTAGAAAACCCAACATGCAAAAGTTAGGCCACCACGTTAAATTATCTAAAAATCACACCAGTATTCATTTGAGGTCATTATAAGCCATTTTAACGTGGTGGCCTAGAAAACTCATCTTGCAGAAGTTAGGCCGCCATTTAAAAAGACCTAGAA